TACAAATTATAAAGTGATATAATTTCACATATTTATTTAAATCAATGATTATAATTTTATATAACTAAAAAATTTCTTAATTAATAATTTATTTAAAATAATTGATTGATAATTTTGAGTTTTTACTGTAAAAGTTTAATTAATTTTATAACCGTGGTTCCCACGGGTTATAAACTAGTATAAATATAAATATATAAACCAAGTAATATTAAAAAGTTAGGTTAAAAAAGGGGTTACGACAGACAGCCCGCGTCCCCGCTTTTCAATTCCCGCTCTCCCAATCGCAAAAATACCATGGTCGGCGATTCATCGACCTCCGTCCGACTTCCGGCACTCCTCCTCCTACTCACTTTCTTGAACTCTGCCTGTTTCGTTGTTTCAGGAGAGTTTCCTTCTCTAAGTAAGTCTTTTAACTCTCTTCTTCGAAATGATATAGTTTATTCCAATTATCTGTACTTGTTGGACTTAGTTGTTACGTTCTTTGGTTTTTAATAACTAGGATTCATAGTGAGACCGAAGAAATTGAGTGTCTTGGCAGATTACAAACTTACTAGTTACTGTATTTAGTGTGTTTCCCTCTATCATGAAGGAACAATTCCTACTTTGTGTGATTAGCGTATTACTGTTACTTGCAACTTAGTAATTTTTGAATTAAAGAACAGAAGTAAGCGTTTAGAGTATTGGATAAAAGAATAGGGACATGGATGATACAGACCTCAACTTCACACATGATATGAAGTGCAGTTGATTATATGACAAGCCCCTTTTAGTACTAAATGCAGGTTCATCCTTCTAGGGTTGCGCATAAGAAACTCTTCCAATAATACCCCTGACATTTCCTTGCATTTGCAGTTGTTTCAGAGTATGCTTCATTACAAATATCCCCAAAATTGGCAGTGGAAAACTCACCAGGTTCAAGACCTGGATCCCAAGTGGTCTGTGAAAGAGTAGAAATTAAAGGCTTGTCAAGGTTCAGAAACCTCACAAGTTTCTTCTCTTCAGTGAAGGTGAAGGCTATAATCGTAAATTCCACTGGTCGCCCTCCAAACGTTACCATCTGTTTCCACAGGTGAGTTGTAATAAATTAAAGATCACAACATTTTATGCCAAAAAAGTCACCATTGGGTGTCTATAATTTGCAGGAATGCATCTCTTGCAGTGGGGATGTGTCATGAAGGTCAATGGGAGAAACTTACCAAAGGGTCATGGATTAAATCCATGTCCCCATTTGATCACAAGCTTTTGGATATACGAATAGTGGGCCCTCCTGAAGGAACTATTGAGATCTTACTGAACAAAGGTAAGTTGTTATGATGATTCATTGAAGTTAAGTAAAACCATCTTTTAGTCTTTACATTATCATACTGACAAGTGACACAAAACTTGATTCTTTCAGAATTTTATTCCTACAGAATTGTATTTCTGGTGTTTGGAATAACACTGATGACATTTGCATCCTCTTTGAGCAACTCTTTAGTAGTCTACTATGGTGGTGCAATGACATTAGGGGTTCTGCTTGTTGTGTTGGTGATCCTCTTTCAGGTTAAGTAAATATCTTTATTATCCCTGAAATTACATCAATGCCACTGCTTTGTGTATTTTATTTTTAGCTCACTGTATTTATTATTTTTAATGCAGGGAATGAGGATCCTTCCAAGTGGTCGAAAGAGTTCACTTGCATTAGTTCTATATGGATCCATTGTAAGTGTCCCATATTATATACTTTTCATCCTTCTACTTTTCAAATACAAATTCTTTCTCTGATTTCCATATAAACATTTTACTTCTTCAGGTTGGAGTCGGATCCTTTCTGTTTAGCTACTTACCTACATTATTCAACTCACTACTCATGGAAATGGGAATCAGTGAAGATGTATACAGTCCTGTATGTAAGTTTTATTTAGCTAATATCACATTATCCCATTATTTTACCAAATTGGTTGCATAAATTGATAAAAAAAAGTTGCAACTTTGTTTCTACAGATAGCAGTATTCCTACTAGCTTTCATTGTTCTTTTGGGAGCATGGTTAGGGTTTTGGGCTGTTCGTAAGCTTGTCTTTACAGAAGATGGATCAATTGATACGGGTGTGGCCCACTTTGTTTCATGGTCCTTCCGGATTTTAGCATCCAGTATGATTCTTCAGGTATACTTGATTCACATTTTGTTATATTATATTTAAACGTTAAAAATGATTATTTTTCCATGATTATTCATATGTTCTTTTGTGTTCCAGAGTTCAGTTGATCCTTTATTAGCAGTTGCAGCATGGGTTTGTGGAATACTTGTTCCATCAGCTTTTAAGTGGTTCCTTAAGTAAGCAGTTGTTTCTTTTTGACTTAATGAATGAAAGTAGGAATGCTATAATAAATAAACTGATTTCCAAATACGCAGAGTGTTGTTCGAAACAAACAAGGTGAAGAAGCATAGAGGATCTTACAAGAAGGTTTCTAATGAAGAGGATCATGGAATCATCCATAAGTTAGAGGACAAAAACACGTTCTATTCGAGCTTTCATGACACGCGTGAAAGAAGACAATACTCGAAGGAAGAATGGGATGAATTTACTAAAATGTCCACGAAGAAAGCACTTGAAAGTCTTGTGTGTTCACCAGATTTTAACAGATGGGCTGTTGCTCATGCGGATAGAATCACTTTACGTCCGAAGAACAACACCAGTCAGAGGCGACAAAGTTGGTTCCCATGGTCTTGATCATCATCTAGATCTGGTTATGAAAATGCTAACTGTTTTGTTGTAACAAATTGTTACCATGATTACATTATGGATAAATTGTTGTATCACTGTGATTCATTAGGAGCTTCTAATTTAACTTGTGTAGTTGGGTTTGATTCAAGATTCATATACATAATATCTGAATCTTCTAACTTGGGTAATTATTATTATTTTTTCGGTAATGTTGTAAATGTCAACAAATGTTTGTGTATGTTTCATGGCATACGGAGTTAATAGTATGTATATGAATCTTGATATCGACTCATCACATTCCTAGACAAAATTGAATACAACCATTATTTTTTCCTCCAAAAAAGGATGGGCATTTTTATTTTGTAAACTAAAATCATATTACAAGAAATATAAATATCTTGTTCACAGAAAAAGATGTAGACCAACAGATCATAAGCCCCGTTCAGTTAGTCACAGACGACCATGTGAATGACTGTAACTATTCGGCCAAATCAACTTCGGGCATTCAGAATCCATTAGGCTCCACACTTGTCTCGGCCCGTTTGAACCATTTCTGATACAAACCGGATTCAGTCGCTCCGAAACATAACCCGTTTCCGGATCCGCATCTCTGCGATAAATGGCCCGGGGACTTTCCTGAACCTGAATCCAAATACATGGATCCATGGCCCAATCACATCGTCTGTTGGTCTTATGTTCACTCTATACATAAAGTAAACTTATCAGATGTAAAGCAGCCTCCTCTTATTCCGATGTGGGATAACAAAGTTTTCACACAAACACCCAAATCATCTAGAATAATCAAGTTTGGTCAATCCATATCCAATATCTCAAATAATACATATTTATGTTCAGATAGATCTCGGTTTCATCAACAATCAGAGAAGGAATTAGCTTCAAGAATTGACTTACAAATTAGTTATAAAAAACAAAAGAAGAGCAAAAGCACATGAAGATATGATGAAAATTCTTAACCTGCAATGGATCATGATGACAGCAGCACTTTCATATATCATCTCTGAAATTAGAATGCGTGCAAGTTGTGAAATACATGTAAGAACAAAAGGCACCCAAAAACAAAAATCAGGAATTGTTAACTTGTTATTGCGTCTCAGTTAATCATCAATGGGTTTTTTAAGTTCGTTTAGTAAATTAAGTATTTAGTTTGGAAAATTTCAATTATTTTCATTAACTTTGAAAGTCCCAAAATAAGGAAGTTAGAAATAAAATACAACTAATTAATAGTAGTAGCTCCTAACATATTAACCCTAAGTTTGACCATGGACGCCGCAGTTGACTTTCGATCGGAGATCAGCAGAGGGGGGGGGGGGGGGGGGGGGGGGGGGGGGGGGGGGGGGGGGGGGGGGGGGGGGGGGTACGTTGATTCAAGGTGTTGATGATGGGTGGAAAGACGCAATTAATATCAGATACAGGAGGGTAGAAGTGGAAGATCGGTAACAAATCAATGGAGGAGAATTGCAAACAAAGAGGTGATCGTGAACAGGGGCAAACCAGTAAACCCATTGTTAACCCTTATGGTAGTGACCTGGATCTGATTCCTACAACATTCTATGTTAGTAATTTTCCAGATACAGTGGATTCCAAACAGTTATGGCAGGTGTTTGCGAAATTTGGCAAAATTGTGGATGCTTACATTGCCAGGAAGCAATCAAAGGTAGGTAAAAGGTTCGGCTTCATCAGGTTTCTTGGTGTGCAAGATCAGTTGGCAATGACCAGAGGATTGTCAAATATATGGATTGGAAACTTCCATCTCTATGTCTCTGTTGCTAGATTCCAAAGGGTGAAACAGGGAGACCAGGTTAAAATCAGTCAACCGGCTCTTATACAAAATGTGGGAAGGCAACAACAATCTTATGCCTCAGTTACTGCTGGTAGAACTAATGAAGATGGACAAAGAAATGAAACTTGTAACAGGAAGAAAGTTGTTTTTGAAGATAAGGACCTGTTGGGAATTCATGAATCAACGAAGATTTTGGTAGCTAAGGTGCGTGAAGTTACAGCTATGCAGTATTTGTATAAAATTTGTTTGAATGAGGGATATGCGGGATTAAAAATCAGACATGTGGGTGGTATGTGGGTATGGATCGAGTTTTTAACTGTTGAAGCTTGTATTGCATTCTAAAAAAACATTATTCTAAAAGGTTTTTTTTTAAAGAGATGTCTCCAATTAAAAAGAATTTTGTTATTGAGGAGAGGATGGTATGGATTGATGTAGAAGGGCTACCACCTTGTGCATGAGGTTCAGCCTCTTTAAAAGAATTGTTGCATTATGAGGAAAATTCATGTTCTTTGAAGACGATCAGGATGTGACGGTAAGTTGTGGTCGTATATGCATAAGTACGAAAAATAAGAATATTATCTCTGAGATGGTCACTGTTATGATTGAAGGGGTTGAATACCATGTTAGGGTTCGTGAAATTGCTTCATGGAAAGTTGATATTCTTGAAGAAGAAGAAGAAGAGGTTGATAGTGTACATGATAATATGGGATGCTCTGATAATGAAGGAATGGGAGATGTTCATGATATTGTAAGTGAAGATGATGAGACGGTTGAGGAGACGCTGGAGGTGGGGAGTCCAAAAAATGACAATTGCTAGGAAGGGGTAAATATAAAACCAATGTATGACAATGAGAAGGTGGATGGATTGTTTACAAAAGTAGAGAACAGTCTTGAATCTCAACATGGACCGAGGGTGGTGATCACAGAGCCTCCGAAAGTGGTTCAAAATGAAAAATCTCAAGAGGAATCAACTGATGAGAGTTGTCCGCCCGATTTTGAGCATTTGAAGATAGGGAAAGAGGGTGGGATACTGGGATACATGGCCACTCATCTTTCCTTCGTAGGGGGTCAACTATCGGTTGTTATACGATATTCCCTCAATCCAAAAAAAATATCAAAAACTATAATAAATTGAGGAATTTTTATTATTGATAACTTGCAGAAGGTGATAGATGATGGTGGTGTTATGGGATATGACATGGTTGTATGTATATCAACATTAGATAAGATGATGGATAGATTAGGTGAGTGAAAGGGTTATTAATGAATATTATGTCGATAAATGCACGATGAATTGGGAAAAGTAAGAAGAGAAGATGGATTAGAAGCTTGTGTTTTAAACATGGAGTTTCTAATTTCATGGGGGTGCAAGAAACGATAATGACGAGAGTCCAAATTTTTAAAATAAGATCGATGTGGCGGAATTTTAGTTTTTAGTTTGCATGTAGTACTTCAAACGGAAGATCCGGTGGTATTCTCTCGGTTTGGGATCTAGCGGTTTTTCAAAAGGATCATGTTAATTCTGTTGATCACTTTCTTATTGTTGAAGGAAGATGGACTAGTGTTGATGTGAAATGCTTCATGATCAATATATATGCACCTTAGGATGTGATGAAGAGGAGCTGTCTTTGGAATGATATTATGGAGCTCAAAAAACAGTCACGTCTGTACATATTTTATCTTCGGAGCATCGTTCTAAAACTCGTCAGAAGCGTACGCCTTGAGGCGCGCCTTAAGGCAAAGCAGACCATGGCCGAACTAGAGGCGCCGCCTCTGTGGTTGGATTTGAGACGTACGCTTCGTCCAGGTGAAGCGTAGATGAATCGGTAGAGGCGGTGCGTTTTTCAGAAACGTACGCCTTGATTTTTAGTCTTATTTTGACTTTTTTCTTTTCCAATCGCACCTGGTCCTGCATCGCATCTTGTAATTATTCCTCAATTGATGAAATTGATGTTCCATACATTAAATTGAGTCTACCAAATGTTGTTTGGATATCCAATTTCTTGATTCCCACACACATTCGAGCATAAATTGGAAGAATCGGACCAAAATTTATAAAAATTATACGTTCGGACCCTTGGAGTTTCAATTATATATTATTGTATATTATTGTAGTTTCAATTATATGTTTAGTATTTTATTTTTTATAAGATATATAATTTTTATATTTATTTTTTAATTCCGCCTCGGGCTTACGCCTCGCTCCGCCCCGAGGCTTACGCCTCGTGAGGCGAAGGGAAAACGCCTTGAGGCGCGATTCCATTCTTTTAAACCTTGCTTCAGAGATTTTAATGAAGTTCGAGAGGAAGGAGATAGATTTGGAACCAACTTTTCGTCTCCAGGAGCAGGGATCTTTAATCAATTTATTGAAGATGCGGGATTGGTGGAGTTACAGCTAGGTGCGAGGAAGTTTACATGAATGAACAAAATGGGAACAAAAATGTCTAAATTAGATAGATTTTTTATTTCGATTGAATCTGTAGATGTTTTTACAAATTTGACGGCCATGGTTCTAGAGCGGAGATGGTGAGACCATAATCCGATCTTATTACACTCGATGAAGGTTGATTATGGACCTATCCCATTTCGTGTTTTTCATTCATGGTGCAAGGTTGAAGGTTTTGATGAAGTAGTACAATCAACTTGGGTGGAAGATGGAAATCTACATGGTGGTTCGTATTCCATCAAACTTAAAGAAAATCTTAAAGAATTAAAGGTGGTCTTGAAAGGGTGGAACAAAGGCATGAAAGAAAATGATAACAACTCTAAATAGGTTTTGATCAAAGCTATTGATGATATTGATGAGAAAATTGATGGTGGGGTGGCATCAAGTGATGAACTACATGAGCGACTACAGTTACTAAAAAAATCTTGATGAGATTGAACATCGTCAAGCTCTAAATATTTCTCAAAAAACGAAATTAAAGTGGGATACGGATTGGGATGAAAACTCAAAGTTTTTTCATGGGATACTTAAACAAACTCGGAAGAAACAAAATATTCAAGGTGTTATGGTAGATGGTGTTTGGCGTACGGATCCTACCGAAGTTAAAGAGACAATTTTTAACTATTATAAAGAAAAGTTTGGGCCAATATCCGTGTCTTTACCAACAACAACCAATTCTCGGTTTGCTACATTATCTCAGGAAGATCAAGAAATGCTTCAATCTATGGTTTCTCATGAGGAGATAAAAAATGCAATATGGTCGAGTGGTGGAGATAAAGCTTCGGGCCTCGATGGATTAAGTTCTATTTTATTAAGAAATATTGGTCAATTTTTCGGACCAGATATAGTTGCTTATACATAAGAATTCTTTCAAACGGGGATTATTCCAAAAGGATGTAATGCATCATTTATCACACTAATTCCTAAGGTCCAAAATCCGACTGTGATTAAAGATTTTAGGCCTATATCTATAATAGGGGTGCAATGTAAGGTTATTGCGAAGATTTTGGCATTACGTCTTGCAAAAGTTGTGGGAAAGTTAGTGTCGGAAGAGTAGACTGCATTTGTCAAATGTAGGCAAATACTTGACGACCCTCTACTATTGAGTGAGATTGTTGAGTGGTATAAGAAGAAGAGAAAAAAGTTCATGATTTTTTAAAATCGACTTTGAAAAGACTTATGACTCATTTGTTGAAGTTAATTTGTTGAGCATATCATCACATTAATTTTTCCTTATCTTGTGCAAATTGTTATGTCCGTTTGATTCTTTGTGTGACATCCTTCCACTACAATATAAAGTAAAATAAGGGTCACAAAGTTAACTCCAAATTTTGACAACTATTAAACCAATTAAGTTAATCACAAAAGTTGATGATTACAAAAGCGCATTTGGTTTCACAAATTTAAATAAATCTCACGTTGTTTCGCTTCAGGGGCAGACCTTAGTGGAGCCCGGGGGGTCCCGGACCACTGCTCAATTTCCGGCACGTAGTGTAAAAAAAATTGTTTTTTCTATTAGGTGCACCGGCTTGAAGTACGAGTGACACCCCTACTAAAACATTCTGCGTCCGCCACTGTTTCGCTTTATCTATTTTTGACACATTAGATTAAAGTTTGAAGTTTAGAATAAAATCTAAAATAATATAACTTTCTTTTCAATTTTCAGTTAAAAAAATAAAAGATAATATTTTTACTATTCCAGTAAAATTGAATTCGAAGCTCCAATTAAAAAATTAAGGTATAGTAGTTGCCCCAATCACCAAATGTGGTTCGTACACAGTTTGAGATCACTGTTTTTCTCAGTATACTCCATATATATATATATATATATATATATATATATATATATATATATATATATATATATATATATATATATATATATAGAGAGAGAGAGAGAGAGAGAGAGAGAGATCTTTTAGGATTCGTTCGCTTTTAAGTTTGTAGAATTTTTGTAGTTTTAACATTTTTAAATTTATATACCAATATTTTTAGCATTGATATTATTTTTTATGTAAACAACATTCGGAAACGTTTTGAATTTTTTTCGTTTAATATTATTTTAGATTAGCGGAATTGTCTTAAGTTTGTTACATTGCAATGTTACAGTTGATGTCTTTTTTAATATTTATAATTCAAATATATTATCGTATAAAACATACATCTTGACCTTAAAGCCTTAAAATTTAATGTAAATCGAGGAGTTTACATCTTAAATGATGATGTATCGAAAATTCTTATGTGATATATAAAATACGATTATAAGCAAATACTATTGATATGTATTCAATTAGTAATTACAAATGTCAATTAAGGGTACGTTCTTTGCAATATGACATGTTTCCTTTATATAACTAATCCATGAAATAAATCAATTCAAAGAAAGCACACCATTCAACACTCGCCCGAAAAGAAAATAATCGTCCAAAAAAACTATTTATTGAAAATAAACTTTTAATCATCCGCGCTTTTCGGCTGCCCGTTGTCACCCGTCGCTTGTCGCGGGTAAAGGACTATTATATATATATATATATATATATATATATATATATATATATATATATTATATATATATATATATATATATATAAAAGAATATTAGAGTGAAATATTAACTGAACTTACGGTATAATAAAAATTATATTTTTGAACTTGAGCTAAAGCCCAATATTTATGGTTACACCTTAAAGTAATTAAATGAGTTTTATGTCGAAAAGTCTCATTATTTTGAGAAAAAATTTGATGGAGTCATAAATCTTTTTTTTTTAACAAAATAGCTTGATTATTTAATATTTTATCAAAATTAACGAAAAAGTCATGCTTTTTTATTTTAACAGACCAATGATAGATTATGTGATTTTCCTAAAATAATGAGACTTTTCTGTTTATTCTTTTTAAAACTTTATAAAAAAATCTAAAATAAAAGGATTTTTTTTTTGCACAAAACCCTAATTAAATTTAAGAGAATTGGGCCATTATTTCAAAGGCCACATATATTTGTAATAGCCTAGTAGATGAAAATGATTAAGCCCATGTATGACTATAGTCTGTTACTCGGTGTTACTTCTACTCAATAACACCTAACACGAACGTTTCCGTCTTGACTAAACTGCAAATTTGGTCCGTGTGGTTAGCAAAAAAGTGTGGATGGAGTCCAAAAAGTTTACAACTTGCACCACTGGTCCAAAATCACAAACTTTTTGTTGATTTGGTCCTTGAACAACTTAAAATGACTTTTTTACCCTTTTCATTTGTTTTTTCTATTTACTTTAATAATTTCAACATTTAAATATTTAGAAAAAAATAAAAAATAAAATCCTACTCCACCCACCCAATCATTCCACTGGTATCCCCCTTCTCTCTCTGCCAGCTTTCTCTCTCTCATACACAAACATCATTAACTCAATTATACGAGACCAAGCCATCTTCCACCTCTGGCCAAGCCTCCATCGGCGACAGCTTAATATCGTGTATCCGACTTCTTCACCCAATCGACACCTGGATTCTTCTGCAACTCTTTTGACGACAGACATGGCAACTCGATGGGGTTGTGTGCACACGAATTTACCCTTGATGGTGTAACCTGCTTCTACTAGCTACTGAATCGCCTCTGCTTCTACTAGCTACTGAATCGCATGAGTTGTCTTCCCGCAACCCATTTCTCTGATTACCATAAGAACTTGGTAGTTGTGTACAGATTGGAGTAATTCTTTTTTCAGTTTGTCAGGTCCGGTGAAGGGGCTTTAGGGTTTTCAGAGAGGGTTTATGGTTTGATTTCAAGATCGAAGATGAGCGCTTTGGGGTTTTCAGAAGCGATCATTGGGGTAATTGATGGTTTAGGGTTTGATATTTCCAAGTGTTCTTGATGTTTTTATTTTGATTTTCGAAATGGGTTTGATGATGAAACGAAGATGAATGATCGAATTGTTTCTTTGAATAAGATAAATTATAGAAACTTATGAACGAAGATGAAGGATCGAGATGTTAAAACGTGTACTGATTTTGATGATTCTGTAATGGAGATTTAATCAAATTGATTTTTTATTTTGTGAAGATTGTAGTTTAGTTGAAAGGGGTGGTTTGGATCATCGATGTTGGAGTTTTGAAAGGATGAAATTTTGCAACAAATATGTTGGATTCAAGCAATAATAGTGAGAGAAATCTGAGTTTTTTTTTCTTGAATGAGAGAGAGAAGAGAGAGAGAGAGAGAGAGAAGAGAGAGAGAGAGAGAGAGAGAGACTAGGTGACCCTAATTTTTTTATTTGTTTATTTTTATTTAATATGTTATTAAAGAAAATATAAAAAATACAAAAAGAAATTAAAAGGGTAAAATCGTCCTTTCAATTTTTTCAATGACCAAAATCACTGAAATTTTCTAATATTAGGACTAAAACCACAAAAAATTCTTGATTTTGGACCGTTCATGCAAGCCGAAAACTTTTTGTACCTTATACACAGTTTTTTTCAAAATACAGGGACCAAATTTGCAGTTTTGTCTTCCGTCTTCTACTACACACACAGACGTAAAAACCCTAAAATTGCCACACATAATCTAACCTTCTCCGTCGCCGATACCGCTGCAGCTTTGCCCTCCCTTCATCGTCTTCATTGTTATTCCAATTGTTAGTAAACAATATTCGATTTGTATGCTTTTGGTTCAATGAAAAATAGTACTTATTATTAGGATTTAGGACCTTAATTTATCCGACTTTTTGCAGATTAAAACATGGAAGACGACAAAGAAGAAGTGAAATCATTCAAAGAATTAGGATTAGTTGAACAATTAGTCGAGGCTTGTGATAGTTTAGGCTGGAAAAATCCTTCCAAGATACAGGCTGAGGCCATTCCTCATGCGCTTGAAGGTTCAGTCTCTTCTCTATTGTTTCAACTCCAAGTGATTCATATCGGTATGTTTGTACCTCAAAGTGTAGCTGATGTTGTCTGATTGTATAATGTTTAGGGAAGGACTTAATTGGGCTAGCACAAACTGGTTCTGGTAAAACTGGAGCCTTTGCTCTACCGATTCTTCAAGCCCTGTTGGCCGCCGCGGCGGCGGTTCCACCTGTTCAACACGCCTTCTTTGCCTGCGTGCTTTCTCCCACAAGGTTTGTCTGGCTTTGGTATTTTGTTTGGAAACTCCATTGATTATACACTTATTTTTCTTCATTGCTCTTGAATTCTTTCTAGGGAACTTGCAATTCAAATTGCTGAACAATTTGAGGCCTTGGGGTCAAGCATTAGCCTAAAGACTGCAGTGGTGAGTTTTTTTAAGTTGCTTTTAGGTCATATAATTATCAGGTAGATTGTTTTAAATTGCATATATTACATGACAGATATATATTTGTTGTACATTTCCATTGATTAAGTCACAACTTTATTCATTCAAATTAGGATTTGGTATTTCAATATTTGATATACAACAGTTAAAGTGTGAAATTGCAAGGATGGCTTTCAAATTTCAGTAACTTCCTTAGCCCCTTATCATTCGGTTCATAATAAGTCTGCTGTCTGCCAACCTAGTCGAAGAATATTTCACGAAATATTTTCTTATTGTTGATAAGTAGGATTATTGTGAACTTTAAGGTTTATGAACTTTTGGTAATCATCTGACCTCAATTATGCAGCTTGTTGGAGGGGTAGACCATGTACAACAAAGCATTGCCCTTGGGAAACGACCACATATTGTTGTAAGCTTTCTTGTTTATGAATTTTCTTTTTTCACTATGTGCTTTAATTTCATATACTTGCAAAAAACATGAATATTTCTGATCACTTGTTTTACCTTTTATGCATTCCTGTTGCTTCAGGTTGCGACACCTGGACGTCTTGTGGACCATTTATCTAACACTAAAGGGTTTTCCCTTCGCACAATAAAGTACTTGGTAAGAACACAAATAATCTTTCCTTGAATTTATCGAGTTTATTTTCAAAAAAGAAACCTTTTATATATTTCAAACACATGTATGACAGGTTTTGGACGAAGCAGACAGATTGCTAAATGAGGATTTTGAAAAATCACTTGATGAAATCTTAAATGCCATTCCTCGTGAAAGGAGAACATACTTGTTCTCTGCTACCATGACTAAGAAGGTACAAATTGATTTCAGTTATTCTATAATCAAAATCAGTTCTACAAAATAAAATCACAAAAATTCTGAGAGTAGAAATGTACTTTACCTTTTTACCAATATAGACATTATGCTTTATTTTTTACCCATGATTGCATCTTACTTCTATTTATTTTTTCCTAATGCTAGCAATATGTAACCCATCATAGCAAAGTACTTACAGTTTGTTATACATTGATATTATTGGTGAAAAAGAATTAAATACAATGCTATTCTGGGTGAAAAATGTAAGTACATTGCTATTATGAATAAAAAAATGCAAGTATGTTAAAAATTTTCTGCTATTGGTAATATATGTATATGTGCTGTTATTATGGATTAAATAATGGTGAAATGATGGAATTACCTTGCTATTATGGGTACTATTCTGTAAAAAGAAAGTGCAAGTATATTGCTATTATGTGTAAACACTGATATTGTCAGGTAAAAAATGTTAATGTGGTGCTATTTTAATAGGTAAAAGAGTGTTAATACATTGGTATTATTGGTAAAAAGAGTAAAGTAGTTTGTTGTTTCTTGCAACTTATACAGTGTTACCTGACTAACATTTCAGGTGCAAAAGCTGCAAAGAGCTTGTCTAAGGAACCCTGTAAAGGTAACAAACAATAATCATCCATATACGAATTTTATATCTTTTTAATCGCTGAGAATAAGCATTTTGTATATTTTGTTTTATTCAGATTGAGGCGGCATCTAAATATTCTACAGTTGACACATTGAAGCAACAGTTTCGTTTTGTGCCAGCTAAGCATAAGGACTGTTATCTTACATACATTTTAAATGAAAAATCCGGGAGTACATCAATGGTGTTCACACGTACATGTGAAGCAACCCGTCTTTTGGCTTTAATGCTTCGCAACCTTAGTTTTCGTGCAATCCCAATTTCTGGTCAAATGACTCAGGTATCAATCAATTTCTTTGACTTATTTTATTTTATAAATTGAATAGTATGTAACTATGCATAATGTATGTTTATTAAATCAGGCAAAAAGGCTAGGGGCGTTGAATAAGTTCAAGGCTGGGGAGTGTAATGTTCTTATATGCACTGATGTGGCGAGTAGAGGACTTGATATTCCTTCTGTTGATATGGTTATAAATTATGATATTCCCACAAACTCAAAAGTAAGTTTATGTATATGTTTGTGTTTTTAAAATCAAATTCCTATACTTGATGTTTTAATCTATGATAGCAATATATTTATATATAAATGATATATATTTTAGGATTATATTCATCGAGTGGGGAGGACAGCACGTGCAGGGAGATCTGGGGTTGCTATATCTTTGGTGAATCAGTATGAGCTTGAGTGGTATATTCAAATAGAGAAGCTTATTGGTAAGAAGTTACCCGAGTTTGAAGCACAAGAAGAGGAGGTTTTGTTATTCTTGGAACGTGTCACTGAGGCTAAACGTTTATCCCTCATGGTATTGTTTTTTTTTTTTTTTTTAATTGAAATTTGATTTTTTTGTTTAATTTGTTAATTTGTTGATTTGGTTTTGGTTTTATTATAGAAAATTAAGGAAGCGGGAGGGCATAAGAGGAGGAGGGGAGGTGAAGAGGAGGAGGATGAGGTTGACAAGTTCCATGGGAAGAATAAGAATAACAAGTCGTCAAACAAGTCAAGCAACAAGAAGTCTAAACGTAGATAGGTTTGAATTCGTGTAACACAATTTTGTTATGAGGATTGAGGAGGTTTCTTTATTCAAAGCAGATTTGGAGGGAATTTGTAAATTTCGTTGAAGGTTTTAGTATAAGGATTTTTTAACTTTTGTTTAGGGATTTTATGTGAATTCTGACTTTTGGTTTGGTTTGGTTTTTCTATAAACAAAGAACTTGATGAGACAATATGATAATCTTTTCTTTGGTCGCTGCTACTATTATTATTGAATGATGTGTGTAATGTGTAATGTGATTTGAAAGTATGGAATACCCCTTAAGTTACTTATCTTTGTAAAAGTTTTATGGGCGTGTTTGGCACAGAGCTTTTGGAAGTGTTTGGGAGCTTCTAGCTTTTAGCTTGTGACAAAACGCTCTAGTTTAAACAAAAAATTTCGTTTGGCAGTACGAACGTTTAGCTTTTAGTTTAAACAAAACGCTCCAAAACTAAAAGCTAGCGTTTAACAAAAAGCTACTGAGCTTTTGAAATCAATTTCCATAATTACCTTTAAAAATATATTTATAAATTTATTTATTTTTAATCAATTGTGCTTTTAATCAAAACATAGTCATAAAATTGACTTTGCCAGGTATAGACATGCATTCCGCGGAGGACTCTCTGCGGACCTCCGCGGAATGACGTCATGTCCGTGGAATCCGAAAAAGTGTGATTTCCCATCGTTTAAAATACTCTTCCGCGGGGGTCCTCTGCGGAGACATTAACCCCTCCGCGGAGTGAGTTGTTTGGCAGTTCATAAATCCCTCCGAAGAGGAGCTGACGAGGAGCTCCGCGGAGAGATTAATGTATCTGCGGAATGGGTGGTTGCAACGTAATTGCAATGGTTTTTTTGATATAAAGTTTTTTTTTTCTTTTGTTTTTTTAGCTCCATTTGCATATTAGATCAGTTTTAGTGTTACAAAATTTGTTTTGAAAAGAAAAATGAGTTTTGTTATTTTATGTACTGGGGGTTTTGACAGATAAGTAATGGGATTAACAACTACGTTAGACCAAAGTTTAACAACTTAGGTTTACTGCTTCCGCCAAATTTTGATCGTCGAATATTGTTTGATTTGGTCAAAAATAAGACTAACGTGTTCAATAGTAATATATCATTGTCATTTCAACACCCAGTTCATAGGTATGTTATGAATATTGTAGACAGAGCAGATGTTCATCAACTCAGAAATGTAATTTCTGAATCGAAGGAGATTGTGCATTTGTATTTGGAGGTGTTTGAGGGATGGGTCGAACAGACAGAAGCGGTTGACAAGATTGTACCATACAATGTTGAAAACATTGTATCTGATAATGTTGAAGAGTGTCCACAAGAAGAAACTGTGGCAGTGAATACAGTGGAAGAAGAAAATTTATATGAGTTTATGACTGGCTGAGAAAACTTTGTCAGACGGTGAAGAGTCAAATGAAGGATGGTCAGAAGATGAGTTCACACACGGGAAAAAAGCTTCAGACATATTTTACGGTACGCCTCCCATACCTGATTGTCCTGATCATATTGTTGAACCCGGACCATTTCACAGTTTACGTCCAAATGATGATATGTTTGTTCGTCAAACATATGATAACAAACAACAACTAATATTTGCTTTGAGTCTTAAAGCAACCAAAGAAAAGTTTCAGTTTAAGACCAAACATTCTAACAAAAATCGTTATGAGGTATATTGTGAAATTGAGAACTGTAGTTGGCGTTTATATACAAAACGCCTTGATCCCACTGATGAATTTGAAATCACAACATTCAACAACGTGCACACATGTTCGTCATTACAGATACACCAAAATCATAAGCATGCAAATAAAAAAGTCATGGGTACTATATTGCATGAGATTATGGGGAAAACTCGTTCCAAGGTTTGGAGGCCTAATGAAATATCAAGGGATTTGAATGCTTTGCTGGAAATCAATGTAAATTACAAACAAGCTTGGCGTGCAAAACAATATGCTATGGAACTGTTGTTGGGATCCTCTGAAGAATGTTTTTCCAAACTTCCTATTTATTTTCACAATTTGAAGAGGCATAATCCCAGTACGGTGGCCTATATACAAACAAATTCAGAGATTGTTCCGAGTGTTGTTTTTATGCCATTGGGAGCACGGTAAATACAAAAACTTGTTATTTAATATATAATTAATTTTAAAAAAATTTATAGTGTTTATGTGTTCCATTTTCATATATTGCAGATACGAACGTTCAAACGTTTTTGTCGTAAAGTTATAATTATGGAGGGTGGCCATTTGAAGGGTGATTTTAAGGGAACCATATTGCATGCAATCGCTATGGATGGGAACAACTAGATAGTGCCCCTTGCGCACGGAATATGCAAAAAAAAGAGTGGTCTTACTTGGACATGGTTTCTTGAAAAGTTGTATGAATGCGTTGGTGATTGTCAAGATTTGATGTTTGTAACTGATAGGGCCGATGCAATTCGGGTTAGTATTGAAAATGTTTTCCCACGTACTCATCATGGCGTATGTGCTTTTCATCTACTAGGAAACATAGTACACAGGTTTGGGAAAAATGATAAAACAAAAGTGTTGTTTTGGAGGCTTGTAAGAGCTTACAAAAGAAATATTTTTGAAGATTTGTGGTATAGATTTAGTACTACTAGGCCGCAAGTAGTGGCGTATCTAAGTGAAATTCCACGTGCTAAATGGACTAGAGCATATTCCCCGTCGAAACGGTACGATTACATGACCTCGAACAGTGCAGAGTCCATGAATGCTTTATCTGTAGATGCAAGGAAGATGCCTATAGTACCCCTTCTTGAGTTCTTCCGTCGTCTTTCACAGGAACGGTGTAACAAGCATCGATTGGATGGAGGTATGACTTTAATTTGGACTTTAATTATGTCGAATAATAAGTTCATTATATATATGTTCTTTACAGGGCAACGTTCAACAATACTAACGGAGTGGGCTGAAAAAGTAGTTAGAAAAAATGAAGAGCGTACGACAGGATGGTCCATTTCTGGTGTTTCAGATGCAATATATCAAGTGCATGATTTCAAACATGGTGGCATAGTTGATTTGAGGCAAGAAACTTGTACATGCAAATATTGGGAAGGAACTGGGTTGCCTTGTGGTCATGTCATAATGGTCTTAAAGCACTTGCTTTGGACATCTGGCTATAGATGCGTACAAAATGGAAACGTACCGCAGTACGTATCAGGAGGCGGTTTACCCCCTTCCTGAACCGTGTGATTAGGAGATTCCCGCTGAGATAATGGTTGTTAAACCCCCGATAATGGATACACGTCAAGCTGGTAGACCGAAAAACAGAAATCGTATTCCGTCACTAGGTGAGGAACCTATAGTAAGAAGGTGTAGTAGATGTGATAGTACAACACATAATGCAACGACTTGTCCGACATTGGTCCCAATGAAGAAAAATAAGTCTAGAAAAAGTAACTACGCATCAGGTAGTAACACAAAAAGGAAAGGGAAAGGGACGCAAGGGACACAAGGGACTCACGAGACGCTAGACACAGACGGGACACAAGAGACGAGTAGGACACAAGGGACACAAAGAGAAGACTATTGTTCAATGTTTGATTTGAATGATTGATGTTGTATGTATATGTAATTATGTCATGTTTTGGAAGTCGTTGATTGTGTACTTTGAAATTGTGTGGTTACTTTAAAGATTATGGGTAATATTATGGTCATATTAGTGCATCATTACTAGTACAATAATAACTAAAACTAGACGATAATACATAGAACAAAACAAGAACACATAATAAACATACAACAACAATAATTAAAGACTTAAGGGAATTGCAATGGATACTTTTCTTTCTCCATTGTTATATAGTCGTCACTAATTCTTATTTTATCTTCAAAACGATCATTTTCCCGCCCAAGATCGATCATTTCTGCATCCTTCTCAGCAAGCCATTTTTCAGTCAGTTTGATATTCTTCTTAGTCTTTTTTATCCATTCCTCGTGGTCTTTGATTTTTTTTTTCAATTTGCATCCTTTCCTCAACCTCTCTGCACTATGCCGCAAAGAGGTCACGACGTTCAGCAAGAGCCCGAGATGACTCTTTATCTTTTCTTTGATGTTCTTCAGCCCATTGTAATTGTTGCAAAGTTTTATCAGACATATACGACTCTCTTATGTTTGGTGATGGGGCAAGAAAAGGGTCGATTGGATCACAATAGAAACAATCAACTTCGTTGCACGAGCAAATATACAAATTTGAAGATGAACTCATATTAAATTTCAAAATCATTTGTAACTCTTTACCAAAATTTCAACTCCGTGGTAATGACAATATATACAGGGACCATATATAGACCCTTCAACTCCGCAGAGAGGTGTTTGTCAGTCCGCATAACTGTATGTCAGTCCGCAGAGCTGTTTGCCAGTTGGCATAGTTGCGTGTCAAGTCGTTGTCATCCTTACATTACAATTATGGGAATACAGTTATTTATTAAAAACTAAACAACGCCAACGGACGAAAAGTAAGGTTCACATAGAACTGAATACAAACTAATATTCGTTGTCATCCATACATTTCAGTTCAAGTCAATTGTCGTGGAGGTAAGACGATAACACTTTCAACTGGTATTTCCCAATGCCTAACGGTTGGAATAGGATTAACCATCTCAGTTTGAAAACCATTTCGATACACCGCGGTAGTTAACTTTAAATTCACCATTTGCTGGATTTCTACAATTTCAAGCCTTTGTAGTGAAGCTATGGCATGCTCACAAGGTATACCACATTTTTTCAATTTACCGCAACTACAAATACCATGGTCTAATTTCACAGTTTCGGTGGTTGAATACTTACACACTTCATATGTGTCACCAACAATATGCCTAATCCTACAACCATCGGAGTGGATAAATCTTTTATGAAGCACCTTTAGTGCATAAGGGGTTAGAATACCATGAAAATCCCCTAAGAAATGAACTGAATGATAAAACAAAATTTATTATGTCATAATGTATAATAACATATCAATTGAACATTTGAGTTATGTCATAACTTAGAATTACCTCCGAATGCAGCACGTTGAACATACACTGCTTGCATCAAGTCATGCACCATTTCAATGATTGTTATTATTGGAAACTCATGGCTGTTTGTTTTTATC